AGCTCTGACACTCTGCAGTAATACAGACTGCTACAAAAGCATCCTAAAAATTATTGGATGCTCTAGCTGTTGCCATATGATCCTTAAGTAACTTCATGCTTTAGGATGTTTTAATAGCATTAAAGGGATCCCCTTGCAGAGAGATTAATTTCCTCCTGTCTTGTCAGCTTTGTGAAGGGCAAAATGAATCTAGTGAAATGAAGTAACCTACTCTGACAGAACAACCCCATCTTATTATACAGGTTTATCTTTAAGTCCATTGAATGGTTACTTTGGGAGATTCAATTCTGAAGAGGAAGAGCCATTCTGTGTTGGTGATAGGGTTTCATACTTTCATTGTGCAGATGAAAAATATGTATGAATCAGGACCCTCGTCTTGTGACTTCATGATTTTTTTTTACTTCTACTTTTATCTTTAAAGGAAACACATCTTTTCCGCTTTATTTTAAAGCTTTTCTTTCATGTTCTGCAGTTTGAAAAGTAGTCATGTTTTTCATTAGGTAATGGACAATGGTTTTTGCAAATTGGATTTTTTTCTCATCTGTTACAACTTTACTTTCGTAAACCCCACGTTTAGCAGTTATGGGTTGACGTATTTACATATTGATTCAATTATGCCTATACTTACTTGCTTATCCTTATTTTAATTATATTCTTAATTTATACCCTTCTTTGGGGATTTTGAAGTTGGTAGTTCCCTGAAGTTTTTCAGCTTGACCCTTTCTGGTATGTTAGTAAACTTAAGATATTTACCTAAATTGCTTTTCATCTCCTCTGTGTTCTGGGTAAGAAAACAGTGGAATGTGGAGGTTAATTAAGCAAAAGACAAAAAAGAGAGGAGCAGAGTGTGTTTGGAGAGTTTAGGGTTAAGATATTTTTAAGGGATTTCCTGGATATGGACTCTTTTTTTGTGGCTTACAAGTTTGAGAAGTGCTGTAAAAGTCAGACATTAGTATTCAAATAATGTACTGCTCTGTTTCTCTCGACAAGAAATAGATGCACCCATGGGTATGGGGTTGGGGAGAGAATGGCTTGCCTTTTTTTGTTTCATCCATCAAGGAACTCCCCGAACCCTGAGATTGCAGAGGGGTTTGTAAATTGATCATCTTCCCCTCAGGCACCTTGTGCTAATTAGTGTTTTGTTTAGGCAGGATCAATCAATGATGTCTGTTTTTCACCCCAAGCATCTCTCCATACACAGCCCTTACCAGGTGAGCTGCCACTGCCCATGGAGCTGGCAGGACCCAGAGATGCCCTGTCACCTTCTGCTCCAGGCAGACAGTATGTTCTTCACTCCTGTCTCTGCCCCAGGAGGGGCAGGTAGGAATGGGCTGCTCTCCCAAGCACATCCAATGGTCAAGCTGCTGTGGATCCAAATCCTCACCATATTCTTTAGGGTGTGATGTAGAGGTGGGGCAGAAGCAAGATGAATCAGGCAAAAAAATGGGAAAGCTTCCATGGGCTCTTCTTCCCCATATTCCCACTGGCACCCCGGTGGTGTGATCCCATACAACCGGAGGAAAAGAGACAACCAGGCAAATAGTGCCTGAAAAGGCCAGTGCCAGGGTGAATTGAATGACTAATTGCTGAAGAAGAGTGAGTTTTGCTTGTTTTGTGAGTTTTGTTTGTTTTGGTGCCAAATTTCCTGGTCTGTGTACACTGTGCTGTGGTTATAACTATGTCTCCTGATAATAAGAGATTTAATTCCATGTACTTGTGATTTTCTTTGATTTGGTACAACTGTGTCTTGGGTCATCTTCATGTGGCTAGAGGAGACTTTGCTTTTAGCCTGCTGTTACTCCATTTTTCTTTGTCTGTCTCGTTGGTTTATAACTCAGTGTTTACTTCTTCCACACAGATGCGTCCTAGAGGTTTGGTTAACATGGGCAATTTGCAGCTCAGTTTGTTTTAAACTTCTGTTGAGATATACTGAATGGATGAGGTAAATCTCCGGGCACCACACATCTGGCTTACACAGGCGGTGAAACACACTCAGTGAAACTTCAGGAAATTAAAATATAAACTTCCCTGCCCCTTTTCCTGCAGGGGCAGGAGAGGGGATGGGGTCTGCCTGCTTGTATATGCCTTTGTGGTATGTTAACACTTTGAGTACTGAGAGACACAGTGCATTTCTCTCCTGCTTGAGCCTTTCCAGTCAGCATCACAGCTAAATGTGATGCCTTGGGATTTTTATGTTTGTGACCTGGGAGGTCAAAACCTTCCTTTAAGATGGCATCCGAGAAAGTTGATCATCTGGAAGTCCCCTGTTTGAACTTTTGCCAGCAAACTATCTCATCTTCTCTTCTTTTCCTTGGGTGAGGGGGAGGGGGGTGGTGAAAATATTACTTTTACAGGAGATCCCAGGTTTTAGATTAGAATGCCTTAAAAAGAAAACTTCTCAAAAATTCCTTACATGAGCACAGCGTTTTGTTTTTCTGTCTTCAGAATGAGAGAAGCAGCAAGTAAGCCTCATGCTAATTTCTCTGAGATTGCTCAAGTGCTGTCATGCTTTTAAATTGAACAAGTCTGGCTTTGTAGCATTTTACATACTCTTATGTGTGTACATACATTCCACCTTGGCTTGGAATTTGTGAAAAAGTCATTTTTTTTGTCATATTTTGTTTCATATTTCAAACGAAAAGGTAGGGGCTAATATTGCACAATCAAGAAATAATTCACATTTTAAGCCCACATGCAAAACAAAAATACAAAGAGAAAAAGAAAGGAAAAGCATAATACGTGCCACATTTTTAATTTCTGAATTAAAAATATGTGTTTTTCCAGGTGTAGCAGGCCTCTGTCCACAGGACCAACAGTGGAGCAGGATTTATTATATGTGGGCAGCAGACATCTAAAAGAGAAAAAACCAGAGTGATAAATACACAGGCAAAGAGAATTTATTCAAGATCACAAATATCCACTAGATCCTGCATCCAGATATTCCTACAGAGACTAAAAATCCTGTGCATTACATAATTAATGCAGATGTTGGCAAGCTTTTATAAGGAACACTAATTCATTCATATGACTTCCTCTCTCCCTCAAGGGCTCTTATACTTGACCTATTATTACTACAAGGTCTTTAACTAAAGAATTAAAGCCAGATGTCTTGTAGCTAGGTCTCCTTTTGTTAAACGTCCCTTATAAATATATATTTTTTTTTATATGCAACAGATCCTACATGAGAACTTTTAAAATTTCTTAAATAATTAAGGCTAAAACGCTTCAAACCCAAGGGTTGATGTACCCTAGAGGAACAATAAAAGTATTATACTCTCTGTGCTGAGAAATACTATTTACTTTAACTTTTTATTATCCTGGGACAGCAAATGTTTCTGGTCAATGTTTAGGCTAGAGGTAAAATCTTTCTTAAAAGACCTTTATCTTTAATAATTTATTTCATAAATTTAAATGTCATATAGTCCATTTGGGATATAGGTGGAAAGTTTTGTATATTGCTTTATTGGAATTGGCTTAATTGCATTGACAAATGTAGAAATGAAAAGAAACAGAAACAGCTTTGGGTAATTCTAAGGAGAATTTTTATCAGATACTATTTTCACTTGAGTCAAGTTACGAATTCTGTTTCCGAATTCTGTACATTTCTGTTTTCAACAAGAAGGTTAGGTTAGCTGTAGCACTTCCTGCAGAGGAGCTGGAGCTGTCCAAAACATATGGTTTACTTTATATGTTTTAATGGGAAGAAATTACCATATTTTAATGTTGTTCCTTGATTGGACTTCTTACCTGCATTGCTAAAACTGATCCTGCTTTTGTAAAAATTCAAGTTTAGTTGATGCAGTTCCAGAGCGATAAAAGCAGAGAGGCAAAGGCAGGTCTTATATAAAATGAGGTTTTGACATGTGTTTCTTGGTTTGATTTTTTTTTTTTTTTTAATCTTTGTTGTTTACCCATGCTAAACAAGGAACCAGGTTGTTATTCAGAGGGGTTTCTTTTCTTAAGGTTTGCCTTTTGGGAATTGCACCTTGAGTAATTGAGTGGAACTGAGAAAAGAAACTCATTAGGCATTTTCTTATAAGCCAACAGTTTTATCCAAAACTTCCATATTCTGGTGGAATATGGACTTGTTTGTTGCCCCCCTAGCTGTCCTCAGCAGAGTATTCTGCAAAGAAAATTAATCATGTGTTCTCTGACATAGCCACGACAATATTTAATGCAGGAAATAAGGTTGGATGCTCTTAACACTAGTTAAGCCAAATATTATTTTTCTTATTTCTTGGCTCTCTCCTGTTTCAAGTTGGAATAAGTTAGTTCCGGTGAGTTATATTTAAAAGCATTGTGTATTTCAAACCATTTCTAGAAACGTGGCTGGTGCTCATAGAAATGCTATGTCACGCTTCCTTTATTGTTCATAAAAGCGCTTTTTATGGACATACATCATCCCTGCTAAATCACAATCTCAGAACATACTGACAATCTTTATTTAGGGTGTTCTTCCCACATTTTAAGACAGGACAGGAAGGAATACCCATGATGGAAAGTGGAATGAGTTAAAACCTGCACAGAAATGTAATGCACATTTCCTCCTCCTTGAAGAGCTATTCTTCTGCTACAGTCAAACAGCAGTTTTGTGCACTAATAACATAAATAAGGTGTCTAGCAGAGTTAATTTTGCTTAATTATGAATTGCATGCCTTTCCCTTTAACTGAATCTCTCAGCAGGTCTGCTTGGCCAGAAGCTCATTTTCTATGCAATTTACAGCTACATCAGAACTCATGCTGGCTCCCAGAGTAGATGGAACCGTTTCTGGTTGTTTCTAATCTGGTTGCTGTTACTAGATTCCTCAGAGCAATTGTTTGTGAGTTGTGGAATGCCATTTGGTCTGAAAAAATAAATTTGTTCTGAAGCGTGTTCCTTTCCTGTCCCCTTCCCTGCTCTTTGTGTATGTCCCATCCATGAAGGCAATCATATGTTTTCAGTTCTGATGTCATTCTGGTTTTGTTTTTTCTCTCTCTTTTTTTTTTTCCTCTTCTTTCAGTCCACAGCCATGAGTGAACCACAGTGCTACTACAATGAAACCATTGCCTTCTTTTATAACCGAAGTGGAAAATATCTAGCCACTGAATGGAACACTGTCAGCAAGCTTGTAATGGGACTGGGGATTACTGTCTGCATCTTCATAATGTTGGCCAACCTCTTGGTTATGGTGGCTATTTATGTCAATCGCCGATTCCACTTTCCTATTTATTACTTAATGGCCAACTTAGCTGCTGCGGACTTTTTTGCAGGGCTGGCCTACTTTTACTTAATGTTCAACACAGGACCCAACACTAGAAGACTGACTGTAAGCACCTGGCTTCTCCGTCAGGGTCTCATCGATACCAGTCTGACGGCCTCTGTAGCCAATTTGTTGGCCATCGCCATTGAGCGGCACATTACAGTTTTCCGAATGCAGCTACATACTCGGATGAGCAACCGCCGGGTGGTCGTTGTAATCGTTGTTATCTGGACTATGGCCATCGTCATGGGTGCCATACCAAGTGTCGGATGGAACTGTATTTGTGATATCACTCACTGCTCCAACATGGCACCACTCTATAGTGACTCCTACCTGGTCTTCTGGGCTATTTTCAACCTGGTCACTTTTGTGGTCATGGTGGTCCTATACGCTCACATCTTTGGGTACGTTCGCCAAAGGACTATGAGAATGTCCAGACACAGTTCTGGGCCCCGCAGGAATCGGGACACCATGATGAGCCTCCTGAAGACTGTGGTCATTGTGCTTGGTAAGTGCTTACTTTGCCCACCCTGTTCTCTCTGCTCTGTTTCTTATCAGGTGATTTCGGTAATGCATGGTCAGCAGAATTTGGAAGACACTGAAAGAGGTGCAGACAATAAGAATAGCCAGAGTTCACTACTGTGACCACTGGGACCATCAAGCTTTTTTATGGAAGTTCATGTAACATGGTCACTCAGCCCTGTAACACAAAACTGGTGAAAATCCAGATGTAATGTGATGTATTTTTGCAGCAACAAATATTTAAAACCTTTTGCAGCAACCTATCATATGCAGTGTTTGTCCTTTTGCCTTTGAAGATGCCAAATGGCTTCAAACTTTAATTAGTACAGGGAAGGCTCAGTATTCCACTGAAGTACCTGTTGTCTCCTTTTTTGCCACCTGAAAGGTGTTGTGTGTATTCATGCAAAATTCCAGTATATGGAGAACAGTGAGGGCCTACAGGCTATTCACAAAAAGATTGTGTGTTAAGCAGGACTGCATGTACTCAGTCCTGTAGTATCCTACATCAATATCTGACCATTTGCTAATACAGGAAAGTAACATGTGAGATACTGGTGCGCTTCAGCACACTGCCCAGGAGGTGCCTAAGCTTCAGAGCTTGGCATGAGGGAAATGCCATAACACACTTTGGATTCAGGAGGTTCATGTCATTTTGTGAATAGCTTTACTTGGGTTTTGTCTGGGGCTCCCAGTTTCCTTATGCAGAGGCACAGCCCAAATGCTGAGTATTGTTCCCTGGTGATCTTCTTTGCTGTTTGTTCTGTTCTTTGTTGATGCAGATCATAGTGAGCTGAAGGCAGCAAGGATGGTGCAGGTTGTCTCCTTGTCCCAAAATGTATTCTCACCTATTCAGTCTCCCAGTACAGTACGTGGGTCTCTAGGTATTCCAGTACCCTGTTGCATCAGATGGTTGCCTAATAGTCCATAAATGCAATTGTTATGCCCAAAGTCCACAAAGCCCAAAATGTAGCCCCATTTATCTCCTTGACATTATAGTTCCCATAGGTTTATGCTGTGACTTGTGCTTTCCATCACAAACGTGGCAGAATGGTTGCAGAGAATCATTGTGTCAATGTATCAACTCACCTGTTAAAGAATTTACATCTTGTACTCTTACCTAGTGATTTGCTTTTTAACCAGAATATAAATTGTGCAGTTAACTAACCTTCTAAACCATTGATAATATGTATTCCTCCATGTCCTGCTATTCTCTTCAGGGGAAGAACTTCTATCAGTTTTGCAAGGGAGACTGTAGCAGTTGGTAAAGCCTCTCCCGACTTCCTGGTAGTCAAAAAATCTGTCCTTTCCCATCTCCACGATTCTCATGGCAAAAGGCAAGATGAGGTTAAGAATACAAAGAAAATTTGGGTTTTGCAGTCCTCTTTTAGGAAACAGTTCTATGTTTTCCTTCCTGAAAACATTATTGTTGATACAGAAGGGTAGTATTTCCCATGAGGTGAAAGACTGACTCAAACTTAAAAAAAAAAAAAAAAAGGCAAAAGACCCCAAAGAAAAAAAGTGTGTGGAAAATAGTAGGCACTTCTACCAATGCAATGTAGAGTTGTAGCAGTAAACAGTCATTGAATAAATAGCAAAAGTCAGCTAATCCCAAGTATGTATGGTACTCGAGGTATGTGTATGCAGCAGGAAGGATAGGTGTGACCACACTGTCCTTCCTTCTCCTGTGAGAAGAGGTCGGAGGGAAGATGTACCAGCCACTATGGCCACAACATAGTGGTGTACAAGGAACATAAAGCGGCCCTTTTCTTTCCCTAATAAGAATATTTTTTTCAGGTATTTTTCTAGAAAGAGTGAAACAACCCCAGGGGTTAAGAGGCATTAGCTAAAGTGAAGGTGAGTTCAGTTTAGCTGCAGATGTAGTTCAGTTATACCTCTGATTCCTCATTAAGGCAACATTTTTCAACATGTGCAACTGGCACATGTTGAAGTTCTCTTCAACATTCAAACAGAATCTTATTTCTTGTTACTGCTGCACTTCAGTGTATTGCACACACTGTATTTAAGCATCTCTTCTAATCTGCATAAAATACCATTTACAGAAAACAATAACTTATTCTTTTATTACATCTGATCAAGGGAAACAAAGACACTTATAGGTTGTGACACTCTTCATCATTTTTGCAGCTCCACCGTGGTATTATTTTGCAAAGCATTTGGTTTTTATCCTAAGCAATGTGGTTATTAGACGAAAGCTAGAGGAGTCATAGGCCTGTAGTGTAATGAAGCAGCAATGCATTCACCTCACCACCTGTGAGGCATGTTTGCAAGATAAAGATGGTTGGGAAGCAGCTATGGGTTTGTTGTGCAAAGTCTTTTAATTTAAGAAAGAAATAAATAAATTATAAGACTGCAGTTAAGAACTAGGCTTTGGGTTAACTACAGAAACTTTTGTGGAGTTAAATATTTGTTCACCAAGGTGTTACCAGACTGCTAAGTGCACCATGAGAAATGTTCATTAGTTGCCATCAGCTGGGGAATACTATCACATATTGATGAATTTGCACTTCAGGGGAGGATTGTCTTGTGGTTCTAAAGAAGAAGAGCTAAGCATCACTTCAAAGCACTTCTGGGCAGCAGATATCTCCAATATCAGCAGATATCTCTCAAGCAAACAGTGTGTCAGCATGCTGATCAGGCAGGTGTGCTGGTGATCTTATCACTGCAGTCTACTTGTAAGTCTGGATTAAAGTTTTCTTAAGCAGAAGATTTAATTTCAAGGGTCATACTTCCTGAGTGCCTTCTTGAAAAGATAGTGCTGCAGGTTTATCTACTGGAGCTTTGGGAAGAACAGAAAAGGTGAGTGTCTTAGGCTGCATGGAGCAATTTCCTGAATATTTATCTCATGCTATCTGGCTTTTTCTACATCAGTGAACCTCAAAAACATGGAGAAAAATAACTCCTGTCTTTCCTAATGGTGCAGATCAGGGTAATAATATATTACTCAATACATTAACTTGAGGCAGAAACCAACTTTTTGCATGCAGTGAAGATGGGAAAGAAAGCAGTTTATTCTGAAAATCTCTCTCCCTCCTCTCCTACCTCACAGTTGAGTGGGGAAGGGAGCTGGTTTGTGTCAGCCTGCTTTACACAGGAGAAGACAATTAATTTTGGAGGAGAGGGAGGGTACTCTGGGATTGAAAGGAAAACAAAACTGGGGTTCTGGGTAAACCTGTGAGCATTGGCAGAGGGAGGCAAACCATTCCTCATCTTAGAATTTTTGTTAAAATGCTGCTAGCCGTAAGTAACCCCATTGTGAATTGGGCAGCATTGAACTGTTCATTTAACTTTTAAACTTCCATAAACGGGTGTCCTGGAGTTGTCCTGCTGGCTACACTCCCAGGCAAAGCAAGCAGAAGAACATCTTTCCCCCTGTCTGCGTTCTCACTGCGTTTGGGGGGCAGGAGGGAGCACAAGAGCTTCTTGTTTGTTAGCTGGCTAACACGGCCTGCCCTCCTCGTGCCTTGCTGCCTTGCTCCAAGAGGAGAAGAGCTGCCCCAGAGGGGTGCAGTCCTCCAGGCAGCGATGCTGTCAGCATGTGCGGGGAGGGTGCCAGCTGCCTCCGACAAGGGGGCGATTGTGTGCGGAGGGCTCTGCCGCCTGACGCGCGGAGCGGAGCGGTCGGGATCTGGCACACTGCGTCATCCCACAGAGCGGGCGGGATGCTGAGTCCTAGGAACGACTCAAAAGCAAAGAACGGATTTTTTTTTTTTTTTTTTTTTTCATGCCCTCTTGTTTTTTTCCTTGAGTAAAATAGTTTAAACAGAAGGAAGTGATTTCATAGCTGAGCCCGTTTTTCTTTTAACAAGGCTGCTTTTGAAATCTTTCAAAAGTAACAAGGAACATAAAGCTCTTTCTCTAAACCATGCCTTTCCTTTGCATTGGAACTATGGAAGGACTGATCTGTGTACTGCACACAGCCATAAAATCATGTCTGGTTTGGCTCGCAGCTCAGTGACACTTTGCCTTTCACCACCACCATGTGTTCCCATTAAATGAGCAATCAGGGAACAGGCAGAAACTGAGCAGATACATCAGCTGAAACTTGGCATCCTGTCTTCTGTTCTCCACTTTTTCTCATGTTACATTTAAAGATAAAGCTAAACTTTTTTTCTGCTGGGGATCATAGTTAGGCTCTGAAAGCATTTGTCTGGGCCAGTCACAGGTTTGGCCCAAAAATGGATGACAATATCTAACTATTATTTTAAGAAGTAGTGAAAGCACCAAATAAAGAATTTCAGAGACCAGGCCTGGATAAACTAGCTCTGATCAGGATTTCCTTGGCCCGGAATCAGTCACAAAAGACTAGGTTCTTTCAGGTATTTTCAGGTGCATACCTGCATTTGTAGAGAAGTACTGGCTTAGAATGTCGCTGTTGGAAAGTTAGCCTGTATTTCTCCTGCTTAAATGTTGATTAAATATCCGTCCTGATTTATCATCTCTTGTTTTTATAGTGTGAGTAACTCTGCCATATACCTCCATATGCATCTTTGGGCATTCCTCTCTATTTAGAATTTAGACTGAGATTCTGATACTGAGGGTTTATAACTGAATTTCAAATAAGCACAATACCAACAACGCTTCTTATTTGTATTTTACTAATCCTGATGATTAGCCTTCTATGCTGGGTGAGTTCTCAATGTCATTTGGCCAAAATTAGGCATGCCTGTTGAGGCAAGAACCACAGCTAGCCCTCAGGATGTAGGGAGACCAAACAATGAATTTATAATTCTTTACCCTTTTTGTTCCTGGGAAATAAAAAGACACTTAGGATTTTCCTGCCTGCAGAATCATCCACTTTGTTTGCAGGAATGTGGTTTACTCTGTAAGATTGGGAAACTAATGTGGGCACAGATAAAACAGTTGAGGGTTCGTTTTGTATAAACTTTGTGTTTGTATAAATTTTGATTTAAAGGGGTCTCACTGTGTTTGAAGACAGTCATTTACTTATTATAACAAAGAAATAAA